TGGGAATTGAACTCAGGACCTCTGGAAGAACAGCCAAGTGCTCTTAATGACTGAGCCCTCTTTCCAGACCCTAAATTTTATTATTTATTTGTTTACTTGCTTGCTTGTTTGTTTTGGCTTTTCGAGGCAAGGTTTCTCTGTGAAAGCCACAAGTAATTTTTTGTAAAACAGAAACAAGCCGCGTGGTAGTGGCTCATGCCTTTAATCCCAGCACTCGGGAGACAGAGGCAGGGGGGAATCTCTGTGAGTTCGAGGCCAGCCTGGTCTACAAGAGCTAGTTTCAGGACAGGCTCCAAAAGCTACAGAGAAACCCTGTCTCGAAAATAATAATTTTATGGTTGGTTGGGGGTCACCACAGCATGAGGAACTGTAATAAAAGGTCGCAGCACTAGGAAGGTTCAGAACCACTGTCTTAGGTAGGTCTGGGTTGTATAATATAAGAAAGCTAGCTGAGTTGAAAAGCAGGAACAAACCAGGAAGGCACGTTCCTATCCCGGCACTGTGTTGTTGGTGGTGCTGCTTCTGGTTTGGTTGGCTGGTTGGCTCGCTGATTGGGTTTTGTTGTTGTTGCTTTGAGACTGGGTCTTCTGGGTGGTCTAGAATTTATGTAGAATTTACTACACAAACAAAGCTGAATTTGAACTCAGAAACCATTCTTTCTGTGCCTCCCAAGTGCTGTGATAAAAGCATGGGCCACCATGCCCGGTTCCTCTGTGGCCTTGAATTCCTCCCTTGGTTTCCCTCGATAGGCTATGGACTAAATGAAATAAACCGTTCCTTCCCCCAGTGGGTTTGGGTCAGTGTTTTATCACAGCAATAGAAAGCTAGAAGTGCTCTTTCACAGTCTGACTGGGTCTGAAATTCAGATCCGTGTTAGCACAGCAGATGAAAACCCACAGGCTGTGTTCAGTTAGGGTTGCGTGTGCCTGGAGCACCTCCACACGGGCAGCAAGGCTCGAAGGGCAGCTGGGCTGAAGCTTGCATTTTAGGTGGAAGTCGGCTGACAATGAGTTGGGAGGAGCCTGGGCAGCCAGTGGGAAATGCAAGCGAAGATAGGTCAGTTTAATAAACTTCACTTCTCGGGTCGGTTTCTGTGGTTATTTGTGTGGTTGGCGAGTCTCCTGGCCTCACACTCACCATCTGTCCAACGATGACTTGAACCGCTGATGCCCTTGGAGTCATCTCCCAGGTGCTGGGGTACAGGCATATCCCACCAAACCTAGCTAACAGGCTTTGGTGGTGGTAGAGTTCTCTCAGCCTTCATTCCCCATCCCTGCTGACAAGAATGTCTCTCCTTCTTACCCTGGCTTTCAGGAAGAAAAGGGAAAGCACAGAGCACTAGTATTGTATTTTTTTCTTTACCTTAAAATAACCAATATGCTCAAGTGGCACCTTTCAGTATGGTGTGCTCTAAATTCACCAGCTTCACGGGCCTTACATGCAAATGTTCCTCTGGGAAAGGCAACAGGCCCTTCCTGCAAAGCTGAAAGCAAGTTTGCCATATCCCTGTCACTCCACTAAGACCTTCAAATACAGGCCAGGTCTTCACTACCAGACGTTTGTGAGGTGTTTGCTAGTCACATTATTCAAACTCTATACTTGCTAGACATGGAAGTATCTACCCATAATCCTAACACTAGGGGATGCTGATGTAGGAGGATGCTTGAGGCCAGTTTAAGTAACATAGTAAGACCCAATCTGGGGGCTTGGCATAATGGCTCAAGCCTTTAATCCCAGCAGTAGGAAGCAGAGGCAGGCGGATTTCTGAGTTCTAGGCCAACTTGGTCTACAGAGTGAGTTCCTGGACAGCCAGGGCTACTCAGAGAGACCTTATTTCAAACAAGAAATAAGAACATTATGATTATATTAGTAAGTAGGCCTTTGGGAGGTGAGTAATCATGAAGGCAGAAAATGGGAGCAGTGTCTTTGTCAAAGAAGTCCTGGAGAGCTAGGAGGTGGTGGCGCACGCCTTTAATCCCAGCACTTGGGAGGCAGAGGCAGAGGATCTCTGTGAGTTTGAGGCCAGCCTGGTCTACAAGAGCTAGTTCCAGGACAGGCTTCAAAGCAACACAGAGAAACTCTGTCTTGAAAAAAAAAAGGCCTGAAGAACTGCCTTGTCCCTCTTCCACCCTGGGAGGACACTGTGAGAAGGGACATTTTATGAATTGAGAAACAGGCCCTTCCCAGACACCAAAACTCCAGAGCACCGTCCTGGGATTCCTAGACTCCATAACTACGAGGGGTAAATCTCAGGCATCCGGAAGATACCCAGTCTGTGGGGCACTAGTTGCTACATCAGCCCAAAGAGACTAAAACAGCCATTGTTCTCCCACAGAAACTACTTCTGAGTCACTGAGACCAAAACACCTGGCAGCAACAACTTAAGCAAGGAAAGATTTATTGTTGGTTCATAGTTTCCGTGGACTGTGGTTGGGAAGGCACAGGAATGGGGACTTGTGGTAGAGGCTGGCTGCTCACATCATAGCAGGCCAAGGAGCTGAAGGCACCGCAGGGGACAGGCATCGCCTTCAGAGATGCCAGTCCCTTCTCCAGCTAGCTCTACCTCTCAGCTGCTACAGCCTCCCACACAGCTCCAGCAGTTGGGGGAAAAGCATTCAAGACAAGAGCCTATGGGGAACATTTGAGATTACCATAACACAAGCCCACCAGCATGAATTCTCTCAGCCACTCCTCAGTGTTACTGCCACCACAGTGCGGTGGTTTGAATGAGATGGCCCCCATAGCTTCATGTACTCAATGCTTGGTCCCTAGTTGGTGGAACTGCTTCTGAAGAAGAAACTTGTTGGAGGAGGTGTGTCGCTGGGGTTAGGCTTTGAGGTCTCAAAAGCCCGCATCGCTGCCAGTTAGCTCTCTCCTGTGCCACGCGCTCCCAACTACTGCTTCGGTGCCATGCCTGCCCGCCTGCTACCACGCTCCCTACCATGATGGTCACGGACTCTCTAACCTTCTGAAACTGTAAGCCCCAAGTTAACTTTTGTATAAGTTGCCTCACTCATGTAATCTCATCACAGAAACTGAAAAGTAAAAGTTGGGGCTGGAGAGATGGCTCAGTGGTTAAGAGCACTGACTGCTCTTCCAGAGGTCCTGAGTTCAACCATCTATGAGATCTGGTGCCCTCTTCTGGAGTGCAGGCATACATGCAGAGAGAACACTGTATACATGACAAATATGTTTCTTTAAAAAGAAACAAAAAAGTACACATAAAATAAATAATTTTTAAAAAGTAACTGAAACACATAGCAATTATACTGCTACCTTTATTTTATTTTTTTCCTTTGAGACAGGATCTTGCAGCATAGTCCTGGCTGGCCTAAAACTCATAAAGATCTGTCTGCCTGAGTCCTGGCTTCTGTCTGGCTTTAGTAAAGGGTTTTTATTAGGCCTGGATAAAGGACTCAGAGAGTGAGAGCACAATGACAACGATCTTGCAGAGGTTGGTCCTGAATTCAGTTTCCAGCACCCACTTCAGGCAGCTCATGACCACTTGCAAGGGCTCCTACACCCTCTCCCGGAATTCCCCAGGGACAAGTACTCAGATGTCATTCACCATACAGACACAAAGTATAAAAATAAATCCTTAAAAATGATTCATTTTAATTTTGAGACAGAGTCTACAACAACTGAGGATGTCTTTTATTTTTTAATTTTTAAATCTTATAGTGGGGGGTTGAAGAGAAGGCTCGGGGTTAAGAGCTCTGGCTGCTCTTCCAGAGGTCCTGAGTTCAATCCCTGGAAACCACGTTGGCTCACAACTATTTGTAATGAGATCTGGTGCCCTCTCCTGGCCTGCAGGCATACATGCAGACAGAATGCTACAAACATAATAAATAAATAAATCTTTTTAAAAAGTCTTATAGGGGGTGTCCTAGAGTTTCTATTGCTGTGATGAAACACCATGATCAAAGCAAGTTGGGGAGCACAGCGTTTGTTTGGCTCACACTTCCCTGTCACTGTTCATCACTGAAGGAGGTCAGCACAGGAACTCAAACAGGGCAGGGACCTGGAGGCAGGAGCTAAGGCAGAGGCCACGGAGGGGAGCTGCTTACTGGCTTGCTCCTTGTGGCTTGCTCAGCTTGCTTCATTTTATTTTGGTTTTTCGAGACAAGGTTTCTCTCTGTAGCCCCGCCCATCCTGGAATTCACTCTGTAGATAGGGTGGCCTTGAACTCAGAGATCTGCCTGCCTCTGCCTCACAAGTGCTGGGACTAAAGCAATGTGCCACCCTCACCTGGCTCTCAGCCTTTCTTAAAGAACCCAGGACCAGCCCAGGGAAAGTACCACCCATTAAGAAAAGGCCCAAAGGCCTGCCAACAGCCCAATTTTATGGAGGCATTTTCTTGAGATCCTGCCCCCTCAGTTAAGTCAGCTTGTGTCAAGCTGACGTAAAACTACCCACATAGGGGGTCAAGCAGATCACTACCCCCGGAATCCTGCAAAGTAGGTGTCTCCTAAGAGACAGCCTTTACTCTCTTAAATTTCTCTCACACTAGCAGTGAGGACTCAGGCGTCACCGGGAATGTCTTTAACTTCTGATTCTGCTGCTGCTACTGCCCTGGGCAGGTCAACACTGCAGGGTTGTGTCATCCTGATGCTTTATGTTGTTCTGGGAATTACATCCAGGGCTTCATCCATACTAAGTAAGCACTCTGCCGTCTAACTTCACCCCTACCCTACCCTTCAGGAACTTAACCATGTATGATGTGTATGTATATCATACATGTACAATATCAGAAACTATGTATAAAGTAATTCCCGGGTTCCTACAAAAGGGAACTCGGGCTTTTGGTCTCTTTTTGGTCCCAGTGAAGTATTTATTATAACCTGTGTTCTTTTCTATGCATGGTTCAGAGCCTTATTTCATTGGATATTTGAGAATTGAACTGCTAGGTTCTGTAATCTCAGCACTGAGGAAGTAAATGTAGGAAGACCATAGCCTGATCTACATAGTGAATTCCAGTTCCAAGTTGGCATAGGTTGCACAGAGATTCTGTCTCAAACTAGTTTAGCAGCGGGTCTGAGCAGTGGTTGAAGACTAAACAAGCACAATAGAGCACTGAGAGCTACAGTTCCAGGTAGGGAAGAGGTGCGAGCAGGAGGCTGAGGTCACCCCTGGGGGTTGTGGTCTAAGGAGGCTGAGGTCACCCCTGGGGGGGCTGGTCTAAGGAGGCTGAGGTCACCCCTGGGGGGCTGGTCTAAGGAGGCTGACGTCACCCCTGGGGGTGTGGTCTAAGGAGGCTGAGGTCACCCCTGGGGGTGTGATCTAAAGAGGCTGACGTCACCCCTGAGGGGTGTGGTCTAAGGAGGCAGAAACAGACGGGTCCCTGGGGCTTACTAGCCAGCCAGCGGAGTACAGTCAGTGAGTCCTAGACTCAAAAACACAGGGTGCATGGCTCCTCCACATTTGTGGGCACACAGACACACACATGTGCATACACACACATGAACACCCAAGAGATGGGTGGCTTAATGTTTAGGGTGAGGGGAACGGCAAGGGAGGGATTCCCAAAGATCTAGACGCTAAGAAAAGACTGGAGAGAGGGCAAGGATGTAATAGGGTTGGTTTCTGTGGGGCTCCTGAATTCCTGAGAGCTAGGCATGGCTGAGGCTGCTCCCTTTCCTCCCCACTAGTCTATAACCAAAGGCGCAGCATGGGTGAAACATGCACAGAATGGCAGATCTCCCGGATGTGTCTACACACACCATTACTTTGCCCCCCCCCCCGCCCCCCGTCATCGTAGGCAGCATCCAAGGTAAAATTTCAAGAGCTACTCTAGGCATTCAAAGTAAATCAAAATTATCTTCAGATGCAGTGAGGAAGGTACAACAGACTCCTTGCTATATGGCACAACACAGACATTAATGTCAAGTTAATTTTGTTCTAAATTTCACGGATAACAGCACTAACTTCCGTTTACTGAGGTCTAACTTTGTCAGACAGTACTTGTTGTTGAGATGGTCTTACCCTGCAGCGCAGGCTGGTCCTGAAATGCTGGCACTCCTAGTGCAGGTGCTCACGACCATGGCCAGCTGCACTCATAATTTTAAAAGAATTAAGGGCCAGGGAGGGATGTAGACCAGTGGTAGAGCTACCATGTGCAAGGCCCTGGGTTCAATCCCTAGCACCATTAAAAAAGTTAAGCTTGAAGCTGGGCAGTGGTGGCACACACCTTTAATCCTAGTACTTAGAAGGCAAAGGCAGGCGGATCTCTGAGTTCAAGGCCTACCTAGCCTACAGAGGAAGTGCCAGGACAGTGAGCACTGTTACAGGAGAAACCGTTTTAAAAAAATGAAAATAGAACCAAATTTAAACTAAAGTGTCTTCTTTCAGCAAACTGACAAAGAGTTGAGAACAGAGCCATACCTGACCACATGCTGTCTACTTGAATTTATTCTTACTTTCTTTAAAAAAAAAAAAAAAAAAAAAAAGGAGGTTCGGGATGGCCAGGGAAATAACTCAAACACTGTGAACAGGAACGAGGGCTCTAAGACTTGGGGTACTCCTGTACCTCAACCTCAGATCTCTAACAGACTCCCACCCCCCGGTTTTCGTTTCAACAAGACACCCAGATCAGCAGCAGAAGTACCTAGGGTCATCACTGAGAATTTGAACACTGGGAACGGGTGGGGGAAAAGTCCAAAATTAGGAGCTGAGAAGGGGAAGGAACGAAGGAGAGCCTAGGGCTCTGGAGGACGGAGTTGGCCACAGGTGGAAGTGAGCCAGTATGGGGGGTGCCCCTCCTGCTGCTGCGGCCCACACTCCCTGGACCCCAGAGCACCCCATGGTTTATTCCGCAGTCACTCCCTACTCCCGAAGCCTCACAGGCCCAGCTCCAAGTCCTCCAGCTCCTCCTCCAAAGCCCTCCTCCGGGCCAGCTTCTCCAGCTGCTCTCTGCTGGGCTGGCTGACCTCGCCGGCCTGGATGCGCTGCTGCAGCTCCTCCACCTGCCGCAGCTTCTTCCGCAGGTTCTTCATCTTCTTGGCTTTCTCTGTGGTGGCGGCAGAGTCGGAGGCATCGGAGGCAGCTGGAGGGGCGCCTTGGGAGCTTTGGAGGGCACTGGGCGTTTGGGCTGTGTCTCCCAGAGATACCTTTTCAAGAGTCCGGCTCAAGGCCTCTCCCTCTTTCTGCTGTTGCCTCCTTTTCTCCTTCCGCTTCAGGTTGCGTTTGGCTGTCTTGGAGAGGCCTACTTCGCCACCTTCAGGTCTGGATGGGGTGACGGGTGTAGTGGCCTCGGGGCTCAGGCCTGGAGGAAGTTCTGGTTTACTCTTGAAAAACTTCACGTACTTGTTTTCATAGCTGCAGGAAACGGAGAACTAGAGCTTTACAGACGCCGTCTAGCCCCTCCCCCGGGCTTCCACCTCACTTCCTTCCCATTACACCCCATTTCCTCTGCCCTTCAGGTTCCCTGATCGTTAAGAAAGTCCTAGAACTCAAAGCTCTGGCTCTCAGATCGAAGAATAGAGGCCAAAGAAATAAGCCTAGTTGGGGACCCTCACTCACCCCTCAATCCTAGCTCCTTCCTCTCCTTTCTGAGACCGTTGTCCCTCCTTCCATTGCCTTGGGGCTCAGGCGAGTCATCCCTGAACTCGAAGGCACACTATGCTATACTTGTGCAGGGACCCCACTAAATACCCCTTGTTAAGCCTAACCACGCACACTGGGACCTCCTCTTGGGGCACGTATCCTTCTTTGACCCTCCGCTGCTTGCGCCAAGTCCCGTCGGGTCTCTGTGTTGAGGCAATGTACTTGCCTGAAATGACAGAAATTAAGTTGAAGTTAGTCTCTCTTATTTTCAAACATTTCCCACGATTAGACAAGTGTTTATAAATGTGCACAGCCCCCACCCCAGCACCCGTCTACCCACCTAATGCAAGACAAGGGCTCACTACGTAGACCAAGTGGGCCTTGAACTTGAATCTCCCACCTCCACCTCCTGAGTGCTAAGATTATAGGTAAGTAACGCCACTCAGCAAAGGCGTCATTTCTCATGTCAACTTTCGATCTTCTGTCACTCACTAACACACTATGCTTGCCCTCAAGGAGCTGCTGCCTCTTTTTTAAATAATGCATGTAAGACAGAGCAGGTAGAGATGGCATTCTTCAAAGGCCCAAGGCAAAGCAAACATCAAAAGCAGTAAATGAACCAGATTATAAAGGGGCCGAAGCAAGAGGTCCGTGGAGAAGAGTGGGGAAGATGAGACAAATTTCACGATGCAGACTCTGAAAAACAAACTCGTAGGAAACCACATCATAAAGGCATCAGAACGCGTGGATGGAAAGGGCATTTGCTTGTGCATTTTTTTCGTTTTGTTATGTATGTGTACGTGTCTCTACGTGAGTGTGTGCATCTCTCTGTAGAGACTAAAAGAGGGTATTGGGAGGAGGGGAGGAAGTGGAAATTCTTAAAAATAAAAATAAAAATAAAAAGGGGGGGTGCTGGATTATTTGGAGCTAGAGTTACAGGTGGTTGTGAGCTTCCTGGTGTGAATCTGAGAACTGAACACAGATTCTTTGGAAAAGCAGCAAATGCTCTTAACCACTGAACCATCTCTCTAGCCCCGTACATTTAAACTAGCCAAAAGCTGAAAGCAATCTAAAGGCCAACAACACGTGACCTTAGTTCATATATACAATGGAACACCATGCCGTTAATAAAAGAAAACAGATAGGAATTAATATTAATAAATAATCAGTGTTCATAATTTACTAGCTGAAAAAGCATAATTTACTAAGTGGAAATGTTGTTTTTCAATAAATTCAGTAGCTGCCTCTTAAGCAAGTGCTGTCCTAATCAGCAGCCGCACCTCTGCAGCTACCAGCGGCTGGTCAGCTGCAACCAGGCGGGAGTTCTCTTCTCCAGACACTGGCTCTACCGGCTCCAGCACGGCTGCTAAAGGCATCTTTAGCTAGATCTCTACTCTCTACAGAACTCAGAATTCAAAGGGTGAGGTGAAATTCGGCGGGCTCAGAGAAGCTGAATAGCAAGTAGCTAACCTCTTCTCCCCCAAAACAGGCTTCCTTCTGCTCAGCCCCCACTTCAGAATCCTAGCTACACAGGGTTCCTCCCTATCATTTCCTGTCAGCTAGCTGCTGACTCAGCCTCCTGACCCAGGTTAATCTTATTTCACAGCATAAACGAATGTTACACATCTTCAAGTAATATTCTACAATATGGAAGTTGGGGTTCGCACACATTAGGTTGAAGAAGGGAAAATTTCAAGGTCAGCCCCAGCAACACAGCCAATCTGAGGACAGCCCAGGATAGAAGAGATTATCTCAAAAACAAAACAAAAGGCAAGTGTAGGCTATGTGGAAGTTCTCAGAGTTAGTCTAGAGACCCATTTATACTCTTACTTTGTTCCAGCATGCATTTCGTTCTTGATGCAACAGAAAGAAATCATATTTATTCAGAAAAATCTTATTTTTATTTTTTTGTAATTGTGTATGTGGGCACACGAGTACAGGTGACTATAGAAGCCAAAAGATGGCCGATCCCTGGGAGCTGAAGTTACAGGCAGTTAGTGGCGAGCCACTAGATGTGGGTGCTAGGAACCAGCCCAGGTCCTCTGGAAGATCAATATGGCACCTGTTGAGACAAGCCATATCCCCAGCTCCTAGAAAAATACTAGCAAGTTGTCAGTCAGCTCACTGTAGAAGACAAAAGCTTTTCAAATGTCTAATTTTTACTTCAAGGTTTAAATTATATGAAGCTCGAGAGATGGCTCAGTGGTTAAGAGCACTGGCTGTTCTAGAGGACCTTGGTTCAAATCCCTCTTCAAGAGGTCCTGTAAAGGACCAGGGTGTCCACAGCTAAAGAGCCATTTCGCCTGCAGCTCACAGGGCTCCTCCTTATTTAGAGTGTGGCAGAGGCGCGCCACTCCCATTCCTTCCCTCTCAGCCACTGAACAGTTATGCACTGAAGACCAGGGTTTAATAAAACAGGTCACGTTCATCATGAAACACGTGAACAGGCCCTCTTAAATGAGGTGTGTGCAACAATGAAGATACTCTTGTGCTACAGCATGGCCAAACGCTACCACCACGACTTCACATCAGCAGCGCACCATCAATCCATGAAAGAGGCAATATATATATAAAACACACATATAATATACAACCTCTATTTATAAATTGTATATATACAAAATTTTGCAATATATTTATCCATACATATGTATTTTTATCATATATATATGAGCAGGAAAGGGGCTTGGGGATCCCCCAAGGTCCACACTGCCTGTGTTTAAGGAAAAAGAGAAAAATGTGAAAGGGCCAGGTGGTGGTGGTGCACGCCTTTAATCCCAGCACTCAGGAGGCAGAGGCAGGAGGATCTCTGTGAGTTCGAGGTCAGCCTGGTCTACAGAGTTAGTGCCAGGACAGTCAAAGCTACACATAGAAATCCTGTCTCGAAAAACAGTAAAAAAAAAAAAAAATATGGAAGGACACACAGCAGGCTGTGATGCTTGTTGGTAAGAGGGATAACTGGTAGGAGAGATGGAAGAGATCATTAACTTATTAATTTCTCTTTTTACTGTTTTTTAAAAATATTTATTTATTTATTATATATACAATATTCTGTTTGTGTATATGCCTGCAGGCCAGAAGAGGGCACCAGACCTCATTACAGATGGTTGTGAGCCACCATGTGGTTGTGGGAATTGAACTCAGGACCTTTGGAAGAGCAGGCAATGCTCTTAACATCTGAACCATCTCTCCAGCCCCTATTTATTGTTTTTTTAAAGGCAGGGTTTCTCTGTGTAGCCTTGGCTGTCCTGAGACCTGCTCTGTAGTCCAGACTAGTCTCACAGAAGTCCACTGGCCTCTGCCTCCAGGACCCACCACCACTAGACATCATCACTCTCTTTAATGAGAGTGAGCAGAGGAGACACGGCTCATCGCTCAGAGTGCTTGGTCGGCATCCCAACACTACATGAACCAGGCATGGCTGTAACTAGAACTTCTATCTTTATTAGTGAATGTGTATGGGTGCCAGGACGTGTTAGGGTTCCAGGCAGTTGTCATATGCCCCACTTTGATTCCTCCCTCCCTCTCTCCCTCTCTCTCTTGCCCCCGCAATCCCAGAACTTAAAAAAAAAAAAAAAAAAAAAACGAACAAAAAGCTAATGAGTAATATTGTGGGGTACATCTGCACACACACAGACATAACACAGTGCCCAGGCAGAAATCAAGAGGACACTATTCAGGAGTCAATTCTTTCTTCCCACCTTTACATTCCAGGGATTAAACTGAGTTTCTCAGGTTTGTATAAGCACTTTACCTACTGAGGCATCTCATGAGCCCAAGAATTATTCCTATTTAGAAAAAAAATCAAGTACTGTATAAAAAAATATATAGATATAAATAGATAGGTATTGAGATAAATATTTGAGGCGGGGGCTTGTGTATCCCAGGCTGGCCTCGAACTTACATTATCGTCCCAGTCTATGCAGGGTTGGTGTATGTGGTCCTGGGGGTTTGTGTATGTTACAAATGAGCTACCCTCAGCCCCATAAAAAGCTCTAAGGCTTAGTGGGTGAAGGCATCAAGGACCTACGTTTGATCCTCAGGACCAGCTCTGGCTTCCACACTTGCACCGTGGTACAAATGCACACACACACACTAAATACATGTACTCAAAATAATTCAAATAAATCTTTAGAGGGCTGGAGAGATGGCTCAGCAATTAAAAGCATTTGCTGCTATTTTGAGGGCCCAGGTTCAATTCTTAGCAGCCACACAGAAGCTTGCATTTCAGCTCCATCAGGGATCCAATGTTTCTGTCTGCCATAGATACCTACACTCAAACACACATACCCACATGAAGACACACACACAATAGTCTGGAAAAGCAAAAATAAAAAAATAAAATTCGAGAGAGTCAAATCTGGGGACTCCTACATAGATTACATGTTCGTGCTCTTTTGTAAATTGTGGAGTTTTTCCTTGTCTATTTGATTGAAATGGGCAAGAGCAGGGAGAAGAGATGGCTCAGGGGTGAAGAAGCATAATATCCTCAGGACCCACACGGTGAACTGACGACAAGGGTTCTCTGACTTTCTTGTGCACTGTGGCACGAACACACAAACACACACACTCCACTCACTAAGTAAACATATATTAATTCTTTGGTTTTTCTCCCCCCTTTTGAGACAGAGTTTATCTGTGTAACAGTCCTGATTGTCCTGGAACTTGCTCTGTAGACCAGGTGGGCCTCCAACTCAGTGATCCACCTGCCTCTGCCTCCAAAATGCTGGGAGGAGTGTGCCACCACCACTCAGCAAACATGCAATGAAGAATTTTAAAGAGGAAAATGGTTAAGATGTGACGTGACAGGCAGAAGTGAGAGAGGAAAGCAAATAAAGACATGGTAATGGGTGAGAGAATTTAGGGAACAGAAGAGTTCCTTGTTTGTTTTTTCTGGGGTAGGGAATACTGGGAATTGAACTAAGGGCTTGCATATATATACTAGGCAAGCACGTGACCACTGAGCCATGCTCCCAGCAGTAAAACAGTTCTCCCGTAAGCCAGCTGACGTGAGGGATAACAAGAGCCAGGTTGGAAATGAAAAGGAAGCAGTTGAGAGCACTGCTGCTCTTCCAGAGGATCTAGAGGTGGAGGCAGAAGACTTCAGGGACACAGCAATTTCAAATCTAGCCTGGGCTACCTGGAAGCCACTCTCAAAAAACAACAAATTTAAAAAGTAAATGAAAAGTCGAAAATGGGTTTGAAAGAGAAGTTCACTCTGAAACA